TGCATAAATAAATAATCTTTTAAAAATTTAAAAAATTATTTTTGTCCTATTACTGGTTAAGTTTTTCACCAGTATTCAACAATTTATGGCAGAAAGTAGCCCAAGCACTGTAAGATTAGGTGCAGCTGACCTTAGCTCATAAATTTCAAATGCCATTTGGGATCTGAGTTCCCCAATGTCACACTCCGGGAAGTCACACACTGGGAAACTGCATGCCAGCACATGTGACATGTGACCTGGCCTAAAATGTAACAAATACATTCAAGTCTTCCCAGTGAATTTGTGGCACTGTGAATTTTCCAGGCAGGCAGAGAGTAATGCATAACATAATGATTGTGGCTGGATACTTAATTTTTGTTTAAAAAAATTACAGCAGTTGTCTTTCAGATGTAAACATCTTTCACTAAATCCTACTATATAAGCACTATATGTCCTATTATCGATAAATTTATCAAGACTCGTGCTGACCTTTATTTATAAAACCTAAAGATGAAAATAAAAGTTATACTCACAAAATTTTTAAAAGTGTAACACTACCACTGCAGCAGAGCAGGCACTCGCCCAATCAAATGGATTAAGGTTTTTTCCTAAATTATCTAATTTATCAAGCAATATGATGATGAAAAGTTCTTATAAATATTTAAACATATCTTTAACCAAGAAATTTGCCCTTAGACACCTGCAATTATTTTAATCATCACATACTTTCACTATTCCTTTTTTGTTTACTTTGCTTGGCCAGATATTTGTTCCTATCAATATCCAAAATAACAAAACATGAGGTTTATAGTCCAGGTTAAGTCCTAATCCTACAAAAGATATTAACATAATTAAGAACTAATTATGCACAGGACAAAGTGAAAGGCACATCAGGGATACAGGGGCAACTTGAAGGATTTTGCCCCTGAAGTGTTCACCCTAGCAGCAGGGGAAGCAAGGCAGAGCATAAAGATAAACACCACCAGAAACCAGAGAGCAAATATGCTTTGCCATATGCCAACTGTTCCTGTTTTGAGGAGGTGCCCTGAGGAAAAAAGCAAGGGGAGCAAGGTCTAGAGAATGTTTTTATTCTTATGGAGATAGCAATAAAAATTTCTGAGCAAAGAATGCGCAGGTCACTGATAGCAGGAAGAACACACAAGAGGTAAAGACCAGAAACAAGAAAGTCTATTGGGACAAGACAGAGGTGAAGTCTATTGCCAAAGACAGAGGTGAACCAGACTTACAAAACGTGTGAGAGAAAAACAGACAAGAAAAATAGACAAGTCTATTGCCAAAGACAGAGGTGAACCAGACTTACAAAACGTGTGAGAGAAAAACAGACAATACAGAAAATCCAACACTTTCAAAACATACTTTTATACCACCTGTGACTTCTATCACCGCAATTGCTAATACAAAGCAGAGAGGTTAGAGAGAAGCACTTAAGCCTTGTTGAAATACCAAGTCCGTTTATTCAAGGAAATGGGCCTTCTGACTTCCAAGATTCTAAGCCAATTCTAATGAAATGCAAAATCTAAAGTCCTGCAATGCCAGAATTTCTCAACTAGGGAAGTCATAGGGCAGGTTTAAAGTGAGGCAAAAAGACTAATCGTTTAGGTCCTCATGTAGCTGGCTGGTGTTAGCAATGGAAAAATACCTAGCAGAAAAGAGTCGATCCCACACTCTTTTCCACCCAACCTATCTATTCAAACCAAACTAAAGGAGGAGATAAATGGTGTGGATTTTTATTTGTGGGGATAAGTGGAATGGAGGGAAGGATAATAAGATGGAGTAAAGGAAAATAAAAGCTCAAAGCTTTAGAATGAAATGACTTTTGAACATTTAATATATGAAAACTGACAATCTAACACCTTACATCCTCTTTATCTTGGAATTTATAACAAAATAATGTTTTAATAAACACCTATATATGTAAACATAGTTTCAATGAAACAAAGGCCAAGCCTTTAAAAAGATGATAAATTTTAACATACTCAAAGATATAGCAATAAAGCATGCTTTCCGGAGATCGTCACACGTATTAGGAAAAAAATCATTATTAAGTTCCTGTATTTAGGATTATTATTCTAACATGAAAACCTGAAAACTAAACCTAAAAGCCTTGGACCACGCAAATCCTGACCTAACTTCCTCTAGGTCAGTAATCAACCTAGGATCGCTTTCTTTTTTTTAAGCCTGATTAACTGCCCCTAATGTGAATAGTGAAATATCTCATATTTTAAAAGTACAATAGACACTCAGTATCAAAATCTTTTTAATGTTTCTCATATCTGACTCTCTCAATCCAGTTGTCTAAAAAGGCAATGCATGCTTTAAGAAAAAAAATGCATTTTATTATGCTGTCTTAAATGTTCTTTAGAGGCTTTAAGGCTTAAATGGAAACAAAAAAATGAGAAACACAAAATAAGTGAAGAGGAAGAAGACCTAATATAAATGGAAATGACACTGACATAAGTTATCTAGAAACCATTTTAGATATCTTATTGACTCAGTTGCTGTGTTTTATATGAATTATTTCAGTGAGTTGCTTACACGTGAATTAAAACATGTAAAAAAGAATAAAAAATCTATGCCTCATTACTAAAACCAAGTGGGGGGGGTGTAGTAAATATTATCAAACACTCCAAGAATTAAGATTTGTGAAATAAGCCAGCATTCTGTTTATAAGACAGAGTTGAAACTCCAGACAAAAGGGTAGATTGGAGTGGGGGTAAAAGAGATAAGGAGACTGGTGGAAGGAGCTGGGCTAACAAGACAGAAATGTGACAGGACTTCTACTAAGAGATGTTGGAAAAGCAAAATACCAATGCTAGAAATGACAGCTGAAGGAATACATCGCCTAAAGATTTTTAAAAATCATTTTGAAATCATCCTAAGGGTATTGGTATGGAGACATAATTCCTTTTGAAAATCATGACTCTTACAACACCTTTCTCATCGCTCTTACCTACAGTTGGCTGAAGAGATGCAACTTTTGGTTTCATGGTACACATTCAAAGAAATTAAATTGTTGATCTAGAAGAGCGTTTCTGACTAAAGGATAATTTTTACTCCAGGGATCTGTTGAGAATATCTAGAGATATTTTCAAGGGTCACGTTTTGGGGACAAGTCTGCTAAAGGAGGCTGAAGTTGTTGCTAATTAATGCAAAAGCCAGCCTACAAAACAAAAGAATTATCTGGCCCCAAATGCCAATAGTGCTAAGGTTGAGAAAGAAACACTTATTTCCTTCTAAAAATAAGCAAAAACAGAAAACAAAAATAAAAAAAAACAAAAACAAAAACCACTCCCTTGGACCTTTATCTCAGTCCATCTCTCTTTAATAGACCTCTAATTAAAGCAAAAAATAACACCAGAGAACTCATTTTTCAATTACTTTAAACATGGTGTATGGCTGGCTCAAACTAAGAGTCACGCTGAGATACAATGAAATAATAAATCAGTGGTGGGTGCAGAAACTGCAGGTAAAGAACTTTTTAATCTTTTTGTTTCATTTTTGTCTCAAGCACATTCAATTCAGAACATTCACCTTTTAGTACCCAGGTGCATCTCTTGTGCTCAATACACTAAAAATACACTGACCTCACAATGCAGAATTTTTCATTAATGTATAAACTTAAACAGTTTTAACTCAGAAAGATTTATATTGGGGGCGGGAGTGAAGAAAGCCACCCAGGTCTTTAAAATGCAAAGTTATTTCACAGTTTGCTTGCAAAATGACTCAGATCATTATTACTTTTAGTCATGCCAAGTTTGCTGCTTCTAAGCCTACTAGTAATGGAGAGAGAGAGAGGAAAAAAAAAAAAAAAACCACCATTTTTCCAGCAGTCATTAAACCAATGAAACAGAAGCTTACTGAAAACAGGTTTGTGCAATATTTCTCTTTTATTGTTATAAAAATAAAAGCCATCTCTGCAAGTGTAAATTGAAGATTCTCAGAAATCTTTCATCTACCTAAATACCTATAGAGTGTGTGTGGCAGGGAAACAAACAAAAGAAAACCCTAACTCATACATCTACAAATCTTAGCCTGTGACTATTTTCCTAACACATTCCTCAGCCAAAACCCTGGCTTACTCTTTTTATGTTTTCGTCCTTAAGACTAATGAGAAAGACCTCACAGGGCGTTTCATCAAGAGAACAATACTAAGAACAAATACAAGCCTAGCAAGTACCTGGCAAATGTCATTCATCAGAAACCCTGACAGCAGAGAGAGAGAGAATCCCGGTGTCCGCGTGACCCATTCGCGCCTTTCACAGCAGGTTTTCACCACTCGAGTATCCACCTTCCTTCCTGACCACTGGAGCAAACGTAACCCAAGTTGAGTGGCCTCCAGGCCCCCACAGTAATAAAAACCAAGCACCCAGAGTGGTCTACGCAAGGGAAATATCACCAGTGCTCCCCCTGCACACTTACTGAGTCGCCATGGGAAGTTAAGAGGACAGACACCGTCATCCCGCCGCGGCCCCACCAAGGTGCACTCATGTCACAAAACGTGGCATTCCAGAGGTGGGGAAACCACGGCCACGAGACAACCCCTGGCATTCCAGCGGTTTCTGGAAGGGGTGCTTTGATTTTCGCATCGCGAATGCCCCTTCGTCTTTCTAAAGCGGGGCTAACTTCCAGCAAAAGGGGTGTCTGGAGACCCGCTCCTCGGCTCTTCGTGGGGTCCCCACCAAGGCAAGCGAGTGAAGTCAAACTCCTGCCCCACTGCGGGCGACTTCTCGCCGCCCCGGGGGCCGAGGGGCCGGGGTTGGTGCGGGGGGGTGCTCGACTCGACCCTGCACCGCATCGCGCTGTGTCTGGAAAACCTTTCTCGGGCTCTGCCCAACGCGCCCTCGGCCGCCTCGCCACGTCCCCTCCGGGTCTCCACACGCCGAGGAGCCCGCGGTGGCCACCGCGCCCTGCGCCCCGGCGCGCCCCGCGGGCCCCGCGCGCCCCGCGGGCCCCGCGCGCCCCGGCCAGCCCGCCCCGGCGTCCGGCCGGGCCGCACTCACCGAGCAGCAGCAGCTTGACCTCGCGCGCCGCCTTCTCCCCATCCTCGCGGAGGTTGCGGTCGATCATCTTACTCCGCTCCACCGCCGCCTTGTCCTCGGCGCTCAGCGTGCAGCCCATGGTGCCCGGAGCGAGAGCTCGCGCCGCTGCCCGCACGTCCGACGCGCTGCCTCGGAACACAGGTGAAGGCGCTCGCGGGCACCTCCGCCGCCGGCCACTCCACCCCCACCCGCGGCCGCCCGCCGGCGAGCAGCGCGCAGTCTTCAAAGGCGCGAGCGGCACCTCGCGGCTCTCCCCCGGCGCCCCTGCGCGCCCGCGAAGCCCTGCGTGGCGAGCCCCTGGCTGCAGCCGCCGCCGGCCTCCCGCGAGTGGCCGCGCCGCAGCCCCCAGCAGCCCGCGAGCTCGGCGTCCGCGCGCCGCCGCGGCCCCGCCCTGGCCCGCCCCTCCCGCCGCCCCGCGACCACTCCCGGGGCGCGCGCCCGCGCACGTGCCCTCGGACAGCGCCCCCTCGGACGGGCGCGCGCACCCGCGCTCCTGCCCACCCGGCCCCGCGCGCCCGCCACCCCCGCGCGCGCCACCCCAGCAGGCGCCCCCGCAGCGCGGGACCGGCCCCCCGCTCGCTTACCCGTCTCCCTCGACAGGAGTGGGGTGATTTCTTCCCCTTTACTCTCACCGACGGATGTGTGCCCCTTCGGGGTGGGGGTGGGAAGGCTGCCAAAGTTGGAAGCAGAAATAAGCCAGTCCTGGGCGTTTGAGCATGCCCAGCTCTGGCAGCCACGCAAGGGTTTTCGAAATGTAAACCCATGTGGGCTGGCGTTCAGGGCTGTGGGAAATAGAGGGAGCCAGGAAGGGAATGGAGTCTGGGTGAAAGCAGAGATGGGGGCAGTGGGGAGCAAAAGTCAGGGAGGGGGACAGAAGGTCAACTTTCTCCCTTCTTGCAGTTTCTCTTGCCAACCTTTTATCCTCTCCTTCCATTCATGGGCACCTTTCTTTACACAGAGAACATTTTAAAGGATTTTCTCCCAACCTGAGAAAATGTGAGACAGAATCGGAGGGTATATTTTTAAATGACAGGAGCAATAAAACACCCATAAACAAATCTGCGCCACATGAGAAGTTCCAAGCCAGGTTTTGAACCAGTAGTTCTAACCGTGTTAGTAAATCATAAGCCACTTGGGTATATCATTCCTTTCTGCAGACCTTGCTTCCTTGCGCATGGACGAGCATCCTTACAGCTGTAACTGGTCTGGGCTCCCCGGCCTCCGTTCCACCCTGCAGCAAATGAAGAGCTTAGGTCTAAGAGCTGGTCTCCCTCTCAGCTACACTGCCTTTCCTCTACAGACACTCAAGACATTTTGATAGATCAGAAGATGGAACTGGCAGCAAAGAAAAACATCTTTGATGTATTAAAAATTAGGAGATTGCTCTTTGGTTTCTCTCTAGAAGTCTTACTTCTAAAAACTGTTTGTGAAAACTAGGCTTGAGTTTTCCAACAAGGTAAGGCTGTGCAGATGCTAAGGGAGGAATAGCTTTCCAGACCTCACTTAAGCCAGGCCTGTGCATTAAGCAGAAATTGTCAGTGTCCTCCTTTGACTTGCTCTTTCCTGTTCTACAATTTTCAAAAACCTGATAGTCTCAAGAGATGCTATTTCAAAATTGCCTCAACTTTTCCTGTGCCCTTTTGAAATATAACACAGAAAAGCAGACCTTAAATTGTACTTAATCACCTTCTATCTTCTTTTTACTTCTTGGCACTCTAGCCGTTGATGTTCATGAGAAAGTCTGGACGTAAACTTGACAGAGTGAACTTTGAACTAGTGTTTCTGTATCAGTCATTTAGATTAGCTGTTATTATTAGTCTTTCCTATAAGCTTAAGGCCAGATAGTATGGGAACAACAATTAAACTAAAAGAGGAAGCAGTCATGATTGAGTACAAGTGGAAATGACTGTAAAACTTGTGTTTCGGAGAAAAGAAGGTGTAACAAAATGATACACATCACTCATCATTTGAGAAGTCTATGATGTAGGTGAGTAATTAAAATATAATACATAGAAGAACCAGAATTAAAGATTAGCTTTATATAAAGCTAAACTTCTGAGAAGATGCAGAGTAATGGAATGATCAATATGGGGGCAAATTCCAAGAAAAGAAATTTTCAAAAAATCTTTTGAAAGGAGCCATGACTATGGATTGGTGTGGAATTTCAAGGAGTATTTATCAGTCAGCTTGGGTCCCCATAACAAAATACCACAGGCTGGAGGCTTAAGCACTAGAAACTTATCACAGTTCTACAGTCTGGGAAGCCCAAGATCAAAGTACCAGGCAGTTCAGTTCCCTGGAGAGGAGTGTCTTCCTGGCTTACCGTGGACACCTTCTTGCTGTGCCCTCACATGTGGAGGGAAAAATAGTTCTAGTGTTAGTGTCTCCAAGAAACTAATCCTCTCCCGGGGTCCCCACACTCATAACCTCATCCCAACCTATTTATCTCCCAGAGACCCTACTTCCAATACCATCATATTGGGGGTGAGGACCTCAACATATGAATTTTTTGTGGGCAGGTAGAGGAATGTTCATAAACATTAAGTTCACAGGTATATTTTGCTTAGGAGGAATAAACAGCTAAATATTCATGTTGAAGAATGAGTGGTTTTGAAATGTAGTTTGGCTGTGAAGAAAGAAAAAAGTGTGGAGCCTCCCTGGTGGCACAGGGGTTCAAGACACTAAAGACACGGCGCTATCAAGCTATTGCCAGCCACTGCAGCACGAGTTTAATCCCTGGCCCTGCCAAGGAGCAACCCAGATGGCACAGCAGACCTCTCCTGCCTCACCTGTTGCTCCTCTCAGCAGTGTATTTCAGTAGATCTGCCTGTTCTGCTCCCCACTCTCTCTGGTGAATCCTCTCACCACACCCCTCTCCCCGTACCTCTGGTCTACACCCCAGTTCTTGTATGCATAAATAAATCTTTAAAAAAAAAAAGAAAGAAGTGTGGGACAATGTTTTGAAGAGAGCTTTGAATATTAAGGTAAAGACTTGGACTTTACACAATGGATACTGTGTTCTGACATTCTCCTAAGTTGGGTAATCAGTGTTAAAAAATATACCTTACCCAGCAAAACTAACAAGTAAATTGTTAGGAATACAAATACGAGGCAGTGAGAATTACTCAAACTACAAACTTACATTATTAAAATATTGCAAAATGTGATTTGACAAAATTATGAAGGAGGTAGAGCAGAAATCATTAACTCACCTGTTTTATAGATAGCGAAATTGACATACAGAAGTTAAAACAATCTACTTTTGCCCTTCTGGAATGTTTTTCCTTTTGAGACAACATATATTTTAAAGAGTTATATTGAGATGTAACTTACATACCATATAATTTATCCAATTAAAGTGTACAATTCAGTGCCTTTTAGTATATTCACTGAGTTATACTATCATCATGACAATCAGTTCTAGAACATTTTCATTACCCCAAAAAAGCTACACCATATGCCATGGTTCTCATCTTTCTATTCTAACCCCTAGTACCCTTTTAAATCCTAAGGTTCTACTCATATACTTTTTGTCTCTATAGACTTGCCCATTGTGAGCTCCTTATATAAAAGGTCATTTCATATAAAAGGCCTTTTGTGACTGGCTTCTCTAAATTAGCATAAAGTTTTCAAAGTTTGTCCATTTTGTAGCATGCTATTAGTTCTTTCTTTTTATTGCTAAATAATACAGAATATCACTGTAAAGAGTTAGAGACATATGTTAAAAGACATATTGGGATGCATTCAGCTGAGATCATCTGGGCTGTAAAGTAACTCCAAACTGTGTCATAGGAATAATTAAGAAACTGGGGATATTTAATGTAGGACTGCGAAGGTACAAAGTGACATGATAGCTATTTCCTAATGACTTATGAGATACCATAAATCAGAAGATATAGACATTTGGTGTTTGGTTTCAAGGTGGTAAATGTAGATGTATTAGAAGAAAGGTATAGCAAACAAATTTTGCCTTGATGTGAGGAGAAATGGTGTACAATTTCCCCCAAAGGAAACAGACAACCTGAGAAGTTCATTCTCTTAACTAAGATGAACAAATGTAGACTGGATGATCACATATTGGGAACAATCTAGATATAGATTATTTTTTTAGAATCCTTACCAACCCTCAGATTCTATGTTATTTAGAATCAAATGGAATTAGTTTTAGAACTGAGATTACAACTCAGAGACTCCCTCTGGTTTTCAACCATTACCTTACTCAACCTACCAGCAGACAAACAAACAAAAGTGGGAAAGGAGAGTTTACAAGATGTTTTGACTTGACAGATTTGTGTGGGCACAGGTAGAACTGTAGAAAAACAGAGTGAAGACAACCTGACTTGTGTTTTGGGGAAAAGAAGGTGTAACAAGATAATACGCATTGCTCATACACACACACACATACACACACACACATTCACACAGGTATCAGAATAGTGTATATCTTGTTTGGAACAGACATCACAGGTAGCTACCTCTCATTATTTGTCACGATATTTTTGCTAACTGAAAATGAGAGAATTTGATTTGGGGAGAGGCCAGGAATAATTAGGACAACAGGGGAGTGTATTATGGCATTTGTATCCTTCTATAGTTATAGATGTAAATGTCCCAAACCAAAGCCATTTTTATTAGAGATGTGGGGGTATTCGGGGCAACACTTGAATTTCACAAGTCCATTGAATTATTGCTGAGAGACTTTAAATGGCAATCAGCACCCCTTTGGGTGTGCAGGTTACAACACTGTGGCATAGAGATGATGTGGAGGCCATTGGCTCTGTCTCTGCACGGAACATGCCAGCACTCAGGCACCAGTGTGTGTCGAGGGACTGAAAGCATCTAGAGATAGTGCTTTTGGTTTGAACCTGTTCCTTCTCCTTTTTGGGTACAGCACCATTGGTAAATCTCAGTATACCTCTAGTAACTTCACAGACAGTGGCCAAGACAAAAGGAAACTGGAAAAGAAGAGGAAAACCATGGAGAACACGAAGTAGTGACTTCAAGCAACAGACTGATTTGTGAGCACATGTGAATATGATGCCACCTGGGTGGACACTCAGAAGTATTTGGGGAACATTTTAAATGACTTAATTTCTTGCTGAAGCAGGTAAGTCATGAAGTCATTGTTGCTGATGCCAGGGGGCACTAAGGAATAG